GCCATCCCCCCAAACTCCCTTTTCATAGTGTCCTTCAACGGTTCATTTCCACTGAGGGAACTGCCCCGTTGGACAACAACCGTTTGATGATCATGAAGCATGCCAAAACGTTGTTCTCAGGATTCCAACGCAACGGATCAACCTGCATATTGCGTCTTGGCGATCCTGAATCGTGCCAGGACGCCATCCCTGGGACTGCAACACCGCCAATCACCATAACTGTTGCACCCTCATAATCTGGAATCCGCTCAAAGCACAAATTTCTGGCACTCTGGAATCCGCTCAAAACACAAATTTCTGGCACATTAACTGTAGGAACCCGTGACATTCTTGCAAATGCTACAGCAGAATGCGCGCGGCGCTATCGCGAGAGCCACAGATTGAAAAAATAATCGCCCCCAATCTACAAAACTGCTGCATGGTTTTTGACGACTATACGCGGCGTTGCGGCGAGAACCACATTTTGAAAATGATGGGCCCTCAACCCGCGAAACTCTTGCAAATGTTTAAAACAAATTTGCGCGGCGCCAAAGCGAGAACCACATGTTGAAAACGACCCGCCCTCAATCCGTGAACCTCTTGCAAATTGTCGAAAACAAGGTGCGCGGCGCCCAGGCGAGAACCACATGTTAAAAACCACCCGCCTTCAATCCGTGAAGCTATTCCAATATGTTAAAAACGAATGTGTGCGAAGCTAAGGCGAGAGCCTCATTTTGAAAACGGGCCGCCCTCCATCTGTGAACCTGCTGCCAATCTTTGAATTTCAGGCGCGGAAGTCTCAGGCGAAACGCCCGGCCCGCCCTGGAAAGTGGCTTCGGGATGCGACAGGGAGCAGTTATATTTTAAGAATAAGAATGGAGCAGGAAGAGGAGGAGAGGAGGAGGAGAAGGATAAGGAGGAAGAGGAGGAGGAGCAGCAAACCTGAGAACGTAACATTACCCATGATCATGACCACTGTCTCCCCTGAAAGCCGCGCGTGAAACACCGGGGCCTTCCCCCGGAACTGCACCGTTCGGCGGCGAGCCCGGGGGAGACCTTCCCAGCCAGAAGGCTCGGAAGTCTCCCAGCCTTTTGAAACGTATCCTAGGCCTTCCCCGAAGACACGGACAACCTCTCAGAACGCGCGAGGGTTTCTGAGAGGGCCCGCCGCCTCCTGAAAAAGGCCTGCTCTTTCCCGTTGATCCCCCTTGCTCGCCCCCGATCTCTCATCCCGAGTCGTCCTCGGACGGCCCCAGGGACTCGCCCCACGAGTCGTCCTCCGACGGGCACGGGGAGGGCCTTGGAGGGCCCGAGCACCAAGAAAAAACCTCGGGGTCCGCTTCCCAGCAGGACCCGCGCTCCCGCACCCCCGATGTCGTGTACCATTCGGGGAAGCCTTGCCGCAGTCCCTTCGGAGCTCTTTGGGAACTTCTGCGAAGTTCCTCTTCTCGAGCTTGCAAACTCCCCCAGACATCCTTTCAATCGTCCTTTCAAGCGTTTCCCACAAATGTTTCACGCGGGTTGGACTTCCCGGCTATCCGAGGTTTTCCCGGATAGCTCGTAGACAACCAAGAAGGTTTCAGATTCGATCTGGACGCTTTCCCACTGGGATCGGCGAGGGGGTTGCTCAGGAGATCGGGGGGGCGATCCAGATTGTGTCGGCTCCGCCCGCCAACCGAAATGCTCCAACCCCTGTAAGCCACATGGGGAATCTGTAACCCACTTATGAGCCAAATTAGGCCAGATATGATCCACCCATGCATCCACGGGTACCCGCCCTATCCTCATATGAACACTCGCGCCGATCCCAACATGGACAAGCTCTGCATCATCAGAAACTGTTTGGCGGACCCGAGACCTGGAAACAAAAAAGGCCCACAGAGGCCGGAAGTGGCGAAACAACGTTCGTGCCGTGTTGTGTTTCACGACGCGAAGTGGTTTTGGCTTGCTCCACGGCGAACTTCCACACCAGCGCGGCGCGAGCCCACGGGCTGCGTGCGCTGCGCGGGCCGAGCAGCCGGCGAAAGAGCGGCCCGCGGCGCCGCGCCGGAGGTGTCCAGGGCCCGCCCCGCGAACGCCCCGCCACCCCCTGTGGGAAGGCTGGTCCTCGAGGAGGAGGCGGAGGCAGAGGAGGAGAAGGAGGAGGAGGATGAGGAGGAGGAGGAGGAGGAG